TGTGTTCACAAGCTGAACAGCAGTGCTGTTAGCTCATGCTGCATGCACCAGCCTTGGTTGCTCACTCATTACTGAGGCTCTCACACCCAGGAATGTTAACCATTTTTTTTTCCCAGATGGATTCTGTTTACTTTTGGTCATGGCTGGACTATAGCGGCCCCATATTCCTCGCGGGGCATTTAAAATCATGTGCTAGACCCTCAATCGTATATGTACGATGTGCGCCATTCCTTGACAGTAACTCACATCATATATGTATGTATTGTGCCATTTAACTCTTAAACTGCGCATGGCGTATATATATATACGCCCTGAGTAACATGTCCCACAGTGCACATGGCGTACATATACGCCAAAGGGTGCCAGGCACGATTCAAATGGCCCGCGGCTACACAGGGTTCACAGTAGCTTCCTCAGGGCTCTTGTATACAGACGCCATTTTTTTAAAAATCGTGGGCAATATTCTCAGGTGTGAGAGGCACAGTACTGTTGGAGTAACCAAGGCTGGCGCACGCAGCATGAGCGAACAGCATTGCTGTTCAGCTTGTGACCACAGCCACGCCGAAAAATGTCAAAATAAATATATAATTGTTATTATTTAGCGATGACAATATTACAGATGACCCATGACTGTGATATAAATAACCAGGGTTGTGATAATAGCAGGATTGTTGTAATAATTAGCGCTGTGGGAGGAGTGATGCTGAGAGATGGAGGGAGACAACATCGTTTACTAACTGTGTGGCTACCTGTTATTGTTTGCATTCACCGTACCAGGTCAGTGGTCCTCTATGGTGAACACAAATGTAGATACTTATATATAATGTGTGTATGAGTGTAATAACAGCAAAAATGACGACCGCTCTGTCAACGCCTACTTTTTGCCAGACTTCCTCGGTCAATTGCGCCCAAAATATGTCACCTACGATTTTTTTTTTTTTTTCCCATGCTCAGGGGACACACATTAACATGTTTAGAAGACGAACAAAAATTTTTGAATTTTTTTTTTCTTGCGCACAGGGGTGTAAATGTCCCCAGGACCCCTGAGCAGTGTAAGGGTTAAGGGTTAAGCCAGATCCAGTAACATAAATTTCTCAAATATTGGATTTACATCAAATTATATATTTTTGAGTTATATATTTAGTTTAGCAACATTATTACAATAATAAGAGCTATAAAAATACTTATTTTAGAACCTATTTATTAATCTTATTATTTCGAAGCTGTAGGTCACTGAACTGTGGCGACGAAATCGAACGAAACACACGTGGTGCTGTGTGCACACATATTAGACCTGTCCACTCATGCTGGAGTTGTTGTGCCAATAACATGAATAATTTCTCAAATAGCAGATGTTGATGGTATTACAATATATTTTTGGTTTTATTTAGTTTAGTTTAATTAGGATAATAAAGAACTATTAAAACACCGGTTTTAGAAATGGTTTATTAATTTGAAACTTTCAAAGTCATGGGTCACTAAACTATGATGACAAACGAAAGTGAGTGAAACCTCACTGTAAAGTGAGGTTTACAGTACAGTATTCCCATATTTGTCCACCCTCGCTCATTTTGTTTCATCTCTGAAAATGTATGTAAGATTTCAACACATTAACTAGCTATTCACACTTCATCCTTTAAATTAATCTACAAAGATACATGTGCCACAAATCTGTGAACGAAAATTATGGAAACAGTCGGTCACTTGTGAGGACCACTCTGTCTGGTGTTTGGTTAATATGCTTCACTTGTGTGGACCAATCTAGCTGATGTTTGTTTCATATGGTTCATTAGTTGTGTGATCCAACTAGTCATTAAGGAATTATTAATTGTAACCTGTGATACAATGGGAAAGTTTTCCACCAGTCTGTGATCTCTGTCCTAACATCGTAAGCAAATCCACACATCCACCGCTTTGGCGAACCATTGTTCGTCGAAACGGATGATTAAATCGGGCCTGAAAAGTGTGCGACCTAGCCAGAGATGCGGCGAATTGGGGTACGTTGAATCAAGGTTGTACTGTACAGTGGATACTTGGTTGATGACCGTCCCTTTTTACGAATTTTTCGGGTTGTGATCTCAATATCTTACGAAATTCGACTAACGACCTTAACCTCGCTTGGTGAAGAGTTTGTTGATACACGTGTGGGTCGATTGAGTGCATGGTTCCTGGTGGTACAGGTGAGGTGCACTTCAGTTTACCAGTGCCTCCTGCCTAGTGACGATTACACTGAATTCTTTGTAAAGAGTTTCATTGTGGAGGTACTGTAACCCCGCGATTATCCGGGATTTGAACATCCGAAAAACGCCCTTATACGGCCAAAATCGTGAACGGATAAAGTTATCACAATATCCGGCCAAAATAGCCACAGGGACCGGATTAAAGCAGGTTTTCTGCAGAAATTACACTATCCGGTCAGTCCCCCAGATAATCGTGCCTTTGTTCGTATATGAAAACATGAGGCAGGCCATACGGTATTAATCCCGTCTGCCCGAGACTCGAGGCGCATGGTGTAGGTGGGGGTTGGGTGGGTGGGTGGTGTTGGGAGGGTGGGAGGGGTGCGTCAGGAGGGACTACCTGGGTACAGGAATTACCATTAATTTTAGAACAATTAATCATAGCCAAAAACAAATAAAATAACTACTAGTAATTATGTAATAACAAATAAATAAGTTTCCTAAAAGCATTGTGCACAGGCTGAAGTTTCCTTAAAAAATATTGTGAATTTTTTTCCTCCTGGCGGCCTACGTAATGCTATGGCTGCCTCAAGTGGACCTGTCCAACACTGGTCAACCCATGTGCGTCCGTCCCTCGTGTTATACACAGTGCTGCGCCATTAGTGAAATATTTTTTTAAATAACTTTATTTTCATAGTAACTTTGAACATTTTTGGCCAAGACTATGTCTGGTAGCAGCATCAATCGTTCTGGAGGTGTTAAGAGGAAGAAAGTTGTCCTAACAATTAAAGACAAGTCACAGTTATACGCCTCAACCAGTGCGGCCTCACAGTGTTGCGCCATTAGTGAAATATTTTTTTAAATAACTTTCTTAATTTTCATAGTAATTTTGAACATTTTTGGCCAAGAATATGTCTGGTAGCAGCATCAATCGTTCTGGAAGTGTTAAGAGGAAGAAGATTGTCCTAGCAATTAAAGACAAGTTACGTGTTGTTCAAACAGTGAGGCGTCACAGGCAGCCAAGCGCCTTCAACAAGTGAGGCGCCACAGGCAAGCCAAGCTCCTTCAACAAGTGAGGCATTATAGGCAAGCCAAGCGCTTTCAACAAGTGAGGCGCCACAGGCAAGCCAAGCGCTTTCAACAAGTGAGGCGCAAGCAAGCGCCTTTAACAAGTGAGGCGTCACAGGCAAGCCAAATGCCCTCAACCAGTGAGGCTTCAGCAGCTGGCAGTCAAAACTAACTTAGCTTAATGAACTGTACAGTAATTTTAAGTGTTAATTTTAGTGTTGTGTTAGTATAGGTTACGTAAATTGTTAAGAATTTTTAACTTCAAGATGTGTGGCATCAATCAAGAAGACGAACACCAACAAGGTAAGTTGAGGTTTCTAGTTGAATATTTAATAATTGTATGTGGCAAGGCAATTCAAATTATGTTGTTTGTAGTATAAAAATAGTTGGAAATGGTCACTTTTGGACTCGTAGGTGAAAAAGTACCATTATCCGAAAAATGTGATAATCCGGCTGGGGGTCCTTCCCATATAGTCCGGATGATCGAGTGGAGACAGTATAAGGAATAAGGAAATCATCCCTCTTATATGTATGGGGTTCAGTAAGCATATTAATTAAGAGAAATATAAACTTTAAAAAGCTGAAATTAAAAAGTAAATTACCAATTTATCAGTGTGATACTGTATGCTTAAAGCGGGTACATGATCAACGTGACTATGATGTTTATCCAAGTGTGCTTAAGTTTACAAGATCCAACTCTAAAACCTCGCCTCATAGCTATTGCATCTGGTGCAATACCTCCTGCAATACCTTTCTCTCGTGGCAGCTACTTTGTTGTTGTAATTGGCAAAGAGTGCTCTGTTCAAGCCTAGCAGGCTCTCTTGGTGGGGTTTTCAGGGCTTGCTGGGGGGAGAAGCAAAATCATACCTGTTTAGCCTTGTAATCTATATATTTGCTGTGTAGTTACAGGATGAGAGCTGTGCTCATGGTGTTCAATATTCACAGTACTGTGTCATGTGATGATTTGAAACTACTGAGGGTTTTGACATCTACCACTTGTTCCGACAATCTACCACTGTTTGCAAAAGTGAACTTTCTAATTTTTTTGGTAGCTTTGTTTCCTTAGTTTAAATCCATGAACACTTCTTGAAGTTGCAGTTTTCAAGAGCACTTCTTTGACAGTTTTGTTGATTCCTGTTACTATTTTGTACACAGTGATCACATTACCTCAGTTTCTTCTGTATTCTAGCTTTGGTATATTTAACACCTTTAGCCTCTTCTTGTAGCTCTCGTGTTTCAGTTCTGGAATCCATTTAGTTGCATGACTGCACTTTTTTTAGTACAGTATATTGATATGTTTATTGAGGTGTGGGCATCATTCAACTGCTCCATATTCCAATTTTGGTCTTAAAAAGGTCATGAACAGTTTTTGATATTTTACCATCCATGTATTTAAAATCAATTCTGACATTGGAAAGCATGGCATACACTACCCACACAATGTTCTTTATGTGGTACTAAGGTGACAGTTTTGTATCCAGAATGATTCCTAGATCTCTTGGAAAGTTCCTTAAAACCTTTTCACGTAATTTATAGGTTATGTGGGGCCTATTTTCTCCTATTCTACATTTCATATAGAGATCTGTATGTATCCCCATTTCTCCATCTGGAAGTTGAGGATACCCAGTAGCTGTGGCTCCTAGGGGGCACTTTGAAATCTTGTGTTATTTCATTTCCCTTAGAAATATGATTGATCGAGAGTCCTTCTGTATGTGGATAAATGACTTAAATTAATGTAATATAATCACATTTCAGATGTTTATGGACGTGAAACTGGGTCCAATAAACAAGCTGCCAGTAAAAGCTGCTCTCTCTCACTTGTTCGGCAACTTTACCACTTGAATGTAATTGAGCCATTTTCTGGGACACTGAAGAAAAAGGACAGTGAGCAGCTCAAACCATATGAAGTGGCCATTTCACCAGAACTTGTTACACTGATGGACTCTGTGATTAAAATGACAGGTGTTCATCCAGTTCTGCCAGTAAGTTTATAAAAACTATAAAGTTAAATAGCCTTACCTTAGATTAAAAGTTTGAGTGCTTTATTGGTGTCCTTTATTAGGGTGTAAGTCAGTTTGTGTGTCCTTGTTAAATCTTAACCTTTATTGCTAATTTTAAATTTTTCTACAGTATAATTTGTTGACAAGTACGATTAATTTCTTGCATATTTTATTAAATATTTGAAGAGGAAACTATGCATGTGTTTAACCCAATGTTAAACTCTCTCACTCACAATGTTTATACTTAATAAGAATAAGCAAAAATTAAAGCATGATGCCTAGAGCATCATCCCCTGCACTGTGTGTATTGTTTTAATGACATTGAGAGCAGCATCAGGATGCCAAAGTGTTAAGATTCGACCAAGTTTGACACAATGTGATGAAAGTTTTTGGGACTTGTTTGATTTAGTTGCAAACAGAATGATATAAAGCAAATTTTTAAGTTATGCTTATGGGTTTGAGCTTTGGTTCTGATCCTGCCTCTCAACTGTCTATTAACTGATGTACAGGTTCCTGAGCCTATTGGGCTCATATCATATCTACATTCGAAACTGTGTCTGACATCTGCCTCCACCACATCACTGCTTAGTGTATTCCATTTGTTAAATACCCCTGACACTGACAAAAAAAAATCTTATGTCTCTGTGGCTCATTTGAGCAAGTTTTCACCTGTGTCCCCTTGTTTGTGTTCCACCCATGCTAAATAGTTACTTAGTCCACCCTGTCAATTTCTCTGAGAATTTTGTAGGTGGGGATCATGTCTCCCCTAACTCTTGTCTTCCAATGATGTGAGGTTTAATTGCCGTTGCCTTTCCTCATGTCTCGTACCTCTCAGTTCTGGGACTAATTTGGTGGCATACCTCTTTAATTTTTTATTGATTTGTCTTGTGTTCAGTTAGGTATGGACTCGAGGCTGGAGCTGCATACTACAGGATTGGTCTGACATGTGGTATAATACAAGGTTAAGTTTCTATAGGCAGTTCTTATGTTGGCCAATCTAGCATATGCCACTGAGAATTTGAAACTGTGTATGGAGTCAGCCTACATCACATCACTTCCTAGCACATTCCATTTATTAACTCTACTCTGAGTAGTCAGTTAATAAACTTAAATTAACTACTCTGACACTGAAAAAGTTCTTTCTAATGTCTCTGTGGCTCATTTGGGTACTTAACTTCCACCTGTGTCCCCTTGTGCATGTACCACCCGTGTTAAATAATCCATCCTTGTCTCCCCCGTCAATCCCCCTGAGAATTTTGTAAGTGGTGATCATGTCTCCCCGAGCTCTTCTGTCTTTCAGCGACGTGAGGTGCATTTCCCGCAGCCTTTCCTCGTAACTCATGCCTCTTAGTTCTGGGACTAGCCTAGTGACATACCTCTGAACTTTTTCAAGTTTTGCCTTGTGCTTGACAAAGTATTGGCTCCATGCTTGGGCTGCATACTCCAGGATTGGTCTTACATATGTGATATATAAGGTTCAGAATGATTCCTTACACAGGTTCCTGAAGGCAGTTCTGATGTAAGCCAGCCTCGCATACGCTGCAGATGTTATTCTTTTGATGTGGGCTTTAGGAGACGGGTTTGGTGTGATATCAACTACCAGATCTTTTTCTCTGTCCGTTTCATGAAGGACTTCCTCCCCCATTCGGTATCCTGTTTCCACTGCCTAGTTTCATTACCTTACATTTACTTGGGTTGAACCTAAATAGCCATTTGTTGGACCATTCCTTCAGTTTGTCTAGGTTATCTTGTAGCCTCATACTATCTTTCTCCGTCTTAATCCTCCTCATAATTTTTGCATCATCAGCAAACAATGAGAGGAATGATTCTATACTATTTGGAAGATCATTTACATTTATAAGAAACAATGTGGGTACAAGGACTGAACCCTGTGGGACTCCACTGGTGACATCTCACCAATCTGAGACCTTGCCCCTCACAGTGACTTGATGTCTTCTGTTACTTAGGTACTCCCTTATCCAATGGAGTAGCTCCCCTTTCACTCCTGCATGCAACTCCAGCTTTCACACTAGTCTCTGGTGTGGTACTGTGTCAAAGGCTTTCTGATAATCTAAAAATATGCAGTCTGCCCACCCCTCTCCTTCTTGTCTGATGCTTGTTGCCTGTTGTAGAATAATTGCTCTTAGTTTAGTTTTATTTAGGAATATCAGTACCATTCCTAGTAAGACCTATTTTCTTTGTTTCTTGCTCTTATGTATATTTAATTTGAATTTTGTTATAAAATGTTCACACTCACAAACATGGATGTTTTTATAAATAAATATACCATTTGTAGATTATTTTACAGAAGGGCAGTGTCTTAAAATTTCTTTCATTCCTCCAGGACAATGATCCTTCTCAACCTAGCAATCTGATTCCTGATGTTATGCTGGCTGAATTTGAACCATCTGAAGCTCCTCAGTCTACTGGTGGAGTAGTGTCTTGGTCTCCACCACAGCCAAACTGGAATGCCTGGACTAGCTGTAATTTGGATGAAGGTCCTTTATCTACAGTATGTATCTCGAATAGAATTGTTAAAATGTATCATAATTGTCAAATATAATATAAATGGAATTTATATTAGATCGTAAAACTGAACTAAGTTAGAAATAGATGCAATGAAAAATCTGAATCATAACCTTTCAAAGCAAAATAAACATAACTTTTTCAAAATCATTGGTTTGTGATAGACATTGTAAAATTAAAAGTTCTAACATTTTATATATTTTCTTGCCAGCTCAATTTGGATCAAATTAGTGCCGACTTACAAGGAGTTCACAAAGACCGGCTGCAGACTGATCAAATGTTACAGTCTGTAACTCACCAAAGGACTCAGTTGCCTGTGTTCAATATGAAGCAAGATATAATGAGTGCCATATATGATAACCCAGTTACTATCATCCGGGGTAATACAGGCTGTGGAAAGACAACTCAGGTATGTATAAATAAATTCTAGTATGAGTTTAGATGATGCTTGGTAGTTCTTTTATACCACCATTAGATAGCATTACTAATAAATTCTCATACCCTGAAGGAGGTTTTGATGTTTTTCTGTTGCAGCTTCAGGAAAAAGATATGACGAAAAGATGTTATTAGCTCATCAGGTAAAAATTGCTAGGAGGTGGGGCATAAAGAGCTAGAATTCACTCTTTATGGCAAAGGTAGATAAGCATTTCAAATGCAGTTAGTTAGATCTCGTATGTTTAGTAATCAGTATTACTGTATATTCATTATTCATTATTCAATTGTATAAAAGTATTGTATAAAATATTAGGAAAAAATTGAAGATGGTTATAAGCTATTCTTGATGCCCTGTGTTATAGTGGATAGAGGCTTTACCCCCATGTATCTTTCCAGCAAAAATAACCCAGATTTGAGTATTTATACTTAATAAAGTATAAATTATAATACTACTGGGCTGTAACTTGCGTAAAGGCTTGTGATTTGGAGAAACTTCTAGGGCAAGGCTTGAAATGAGTTACTGAAAGGGGGCTTTTAGCCTACCAACTAGTCAAAACCCATCTGCTGTACCCTCTAATATATAAGATTACTATAATTATATAATTCAGAATTTTGTTGCCAAGTGAGTGGAATATTGAATGCTAAAACCCTAAAATAGAACACTAAAATAGTATAGTATGGATTATGAGAGTTTTCAAATCCAGACGGCATACATAAACGCGATAAAGAACTAAATTGTCGAGATTATCTCAAAGCTCACCGAGTGTACTCGCTAGAAAGGAGACGAGAGAGATGTAGAATAATATACACGTGGAAAATGCTGGAGGGCCAGGTACCAAATCTACACAGTAAAATAACATTATGGAGTGAATGATATGGGAAGAAAATGCAGAATAGAATCAGTGAAGAACAGGGGTGCCATAGGCACAATCAGAGAACACTGTATAAACATTAAAGGTCCATGGTTGTTCAACATCCTCCCAGTCATTATAACAAATATTTTGGGAACAACTGTAGACATCTTTAAGAGAAAACCAGATTTTCTACAAGAAGTGCCAGTCCAGCCGGGCTGTGGTAGATATGTGGGCCTGCGGGCCGCTCCAAGCAACAACCTGTTGGACTAAGCTCACAAGTTGAGCCTGGCCTCGGGCCAGGCTTGGGGAGTAGAGGAACTCCCAGAACCCCATCAAGCAAACAGGTAACCCAATTAGGATTTAATTAGAGAGAAGGTCCTAGTTGCATAAGAGAGTGGTTAGGTAAATAAGCAAGGAGGAGAGGAGTCAAGGTTGAGGGTAGAGGAGATTGACAAAATATCTAAGTTTAGAGAATAAGTTCAGTCAGGTGAATAAAATAGGTGAAAGTAACTGATGACAATAGAAGGGAGTCGAGTACTAGAAAAGTGGGGATTTAATTTTTTATTTTTAATGGTTTTAAAATTTTGAAATTATTCTCTTCCCAGGTTTCATCTGAATTGCCTGTCATCTGTATAAGCTTAATTTTAATCACTTGTTTTTAATAAATCAGGGATTTTTTTTCTCTCCTCCCTCCCCCCCCCCCCCCCCCTCCTTCATGTGATAGGGATCTTGCTTTAAGATTTCCTCCTTTCATATACTGTACTAATCATATCCCTGGCATTGTCCCATACAGTACTGTTTGAGTATCTGCAGCTTGGTAGCTATGTAGTTTGGTAGTGTAATTGTTTTGTTTTTTTCCAACAGGTTTGTCAGTTCATCTTGGATGATTATATTCAATCAGGATCTGGAGCGTTTTGCAACATAGTAATCACACAACCTCGCCGTATATCGGCGGTATCTGTTGCTGATCGTGTTGCAAGTGAGCGAGGAGAAGATATTGGTAATAGTGTTGGCTACTCTGTGAGATTTGAGTCAGTGCTTCCAAGACCATATGGAGGAATATTGTTCTGCACTGTTGGAGTTCTATTAAGGAAGCTAGAAGCTGGACTGAGAGGGGTGTCTCATGTAATTGTTGATGAAATTCATGAGAGGGACATCAATACGGATTTCATCCTTATTGTGTTACGTGATATGGTAAGTTTTGTCAATTATATTTTAAAGAAATTCCACTATATTTACCGTTAGAAAGAAATTTGGCCCGCTTTATATCAAGACATTACATTTATGCTATCTGTATTTTGTTAATTTGTACTATAGTTCGGTATAGTTTTGTGTTTTTCCTCTACACATTTATGTCCATGGGTCATCTGGATAACACTTGCACATCTTGGCCTCAAACTGTAAGACTTGTGTACTAGTTCTGTGGTGGTGGTGCAAGGAAGGTGTTCACTATTAATGGTCTTTGAAGTCTTCTCTGGTGGCACATTTTAGATATCAATACATTGAGAGGTAGAAAGCTGTATTTTTATGAAAATACCGTATATAATACACTAAATTGGGCAGAATTAAGGTACACAAGAGTCTGTGAAAACTTAACCTTCTGTCAAGGATGAATCTTGAAACTACTGGATCAGCCAAGTTAATGTTGATTCAGTAAACAGTTAAGAAAAAATAATGGATACGAAAAGGATGATTTGGTGTGAAAGAGTACGACATTGGTGCCAGCTCTGTTTTGAGACAATAGAAGTAAAACCTACAAAAACAAAAATACAATACGTAGTGTATGTAAACTTCTTTAGTACAGGGTCACCACACTTGGCCACTATTGATTATAAGACAAATGGAATTTCTTTAAAAAAGTAAGCAGAAAATAGTATTTTCTTTTGTAATTGTTGCCTATTGTAAGGTAATTTTGGTGATACAGCTGTATTAAAACATCTCTCATGTCATTTGTGTTAAAATATAAATATGTGCACAAGTATTGAATCTCATAAAAAAATATTTAGTAAAAAATGGGTTAAGTGACCCGAGCTAGATGCAATGGAATGACAGACAGGCCTGGATGAAGGTAAGTTCCAATTAGACCATTTAATCAGGACTTCACAGTATCAAGAAGGGTTTTGAATTTTTTTTGTTTTGTGTGTGATGAATTTGAATTCATCTCACATGGCCACTAGATATGCTCCACTCGACTGCAATTTATTTAAAATTCATGACATTATTTATTTTCATATTTGCTGTTAGTAGAAACCTTAGTGACACTTCTGGTATTTTGAGCTGACATTGTTGCAGGATGTTCAGTATTTAGAACAAAAATGAGAGGACAAAATTCACTGAAATGAATAAATCCACAAGGGCCGTGATGAGGGTTCAAACCTACATCAGGGATGATCCCAGACACGCCTTAGTCGACTGTGCCACGACATGGTAAAAGAATTGCAACCTAGAGTGCTACTGCCCTCAAAAGAATTCCCCCATGCACCCGGTCTCTGTCAACCAAATGTTCTACCTCTTCGCCCTTACTGCAATACACAGAAATCACAATAGCATGATGCATCAAATGCACCCAAGCTGCAAAAGCCTTGTGAAGGCAGTAGCACTCCAGGTTGCAATCCTTTTACCATGTCGTGGTACAGTCGACTAAGGAGCGTCAATGATCATCCCGGATGTAGGTTCGAACCCTCATCACGGCCCTTGTGGATTTGTTCATTTGATGTATCACGCTATTGTGATTTGTGTGTGTATTCACAAATATTTTTGTTAGTGTTATTGAAAAAAAATCTGCTTTTATGGTTTAGGCAATATATCAGTGTTGACAAATCTCTCTTGATTAATTTCCATGGATTAAAGTAACTGTTTAAATCTAATTTATATTGATGACCTGACTACTATATATTTTTTTTTATTGGCAGGTGCGTGCTTTCCCCGATCTTCGCATTATTCTTATGTCTGCTACCATAGATATCAGTCTTTTTTCGGAATATTTTGCCAACCCTTTTTTGATTGAGGTACCAGGCCGAGCCTTTCCTGTGCAGGAGTATTTCCTGGAAGACTGCATTGAACTTACAAAATTTATGCCCTCTCCAGATACCAGAAAACGGAATAAAAAGGTTAGTAATAGTTCTTTATCCAGTATATTTGGTCCCATATAGTAAACATGTCTAATATAAAGGGAAATTTGGATCTTCAAGTTCAAGCAAGTTTATTGAGACAATAAGATACATCTCAAAAGGATAGAGTGGCTTAGGTTATTTCCACTATCCACCTTTTTGGTGTCTCATTTTGTTTCTTGTATTATTTCAGGAGAAGGATGAAGAACTGCCAGGAGAAGAACCAGAGGAGAACCTGAATATTGTTAGCTCAAGTCATTATTCAGAAGGCACTAGACGGGCATTGGCTATGATGAATGAGAAAGATTTGAGCTTTGAATTGGTTGAAGCCTTGCTGAAATATATAGACACTCTCAGTACTCCTGGGGCTGTTCTGATATTTCTTCCTGGTTGGAATCTCATCTTCACTCTCATGAGACACCTAAAGCAACACCCTGTTTTTGGTGAGTTATCCTCTTCAATTAATATTATATTGTGGTGAGGAACAAAAAATTGTTCTAAAGTATCATGCACTGACAAAATTGCTTTATACATACTATATTCCAATTGTGTCTTATTAAAGTTGGGTGCCACTATTTAACTACCTTGAAACTTTGTTAGTACTTTCTTATATCTGACTAAATTGTTTCTGACTTATATTTCATGTGTGCCCTTTCTGGCTATTTTCCCCAAGGTTAAAACACTTTCGCACTATGGGCGAGCGAGCCCCACGCTATCCTAGGTGGATCCGGGCATTCCACGGGAGCGCGCGGTAATTCTGAAAAGTGTATACTCTTTTCAACTTTGTCACCTCAATTCTTGTCTTAGGTTTTTCAATTTGGTATAAATGTGTTTGCAATAGAATTCACTACAGGACTAACTGCATATAAACTTCAAAAGCCTGGCTTACCACCCGCAGCAGACAAAGTGTGAGCGAGTTACCCGGGAGCGCGCAAGAGCAATAAAATGTGTATACTCTTTTCACTTTAGTCACCTCAATTCTTGTCCTAGGTCTTTCATTTTGGTATTTGGTATTCATTTCACACCAGAATTCCCTACAGAAGTATATGCATATGTCAAAAACTGCAGCGCGCTCCACCCGCCACCAGAAAGAGAGAGCTGCGACACCCCAAGGTGCTTTTCATTACATTAAAGAGCGCAGTAATACTGAAAAGTATATACTCTCTTCAACTTTGTCATCTCAATTCTCATCCTAGGTTTTTCAATTTGGTATCAATGTGTTTGCGATAGAATTCTCCACAGGACTGAATGCATATAAAGCCCAAAAGGCCGGCAAGAAAGTGTGTGTGTGATACCCGGGAGCGCACAATAGCAATAAAATGTGTACACTCTCTTCACTTTGGATATCTCGATTCTCATCTTAGGTCTTTCATTTTGGTATCATTGTGTTCGCAATAGAATTCCCTACAGGTGTATATGTAAATATAAAGTCCAAAAGCCCGGCGTACCACCCACTGCAAACAGAAAAAGTTATGGAGCGTTACCCCAGTGAGCGCTCAAGGGCAATAAAATGGGTATACTCTTTTTTCAACTTCGTTACCTCAATTCGGGTCCTAGGTCTTTCATTTTGGTATCAGTATTGTACATTTATTTGTACAGTATTCGCAATGAAATTCCTTACAGGAGTATATGCATATAATGTCCTAAACCGCGGCGCACCCCCCTCCTGCAGCTGCCGCCAATTTAGCACGCAGTACTGCGTAGTAACTGGACATTCATCTACTAAATTTAGCACTCAATACTGCGTCGTTACTGGACGAAAGTGGAAACAGACTGTCACTCTTCAACCCATCTACCCCTCTCAGTACTTAACGCTATTTCGCTCGGTTCAGGTGCGCCGCAGACTATGACGTCTGCTCCTGACTGTTCGGGCGAGCATACGGCGACACAGAAATGTATATGCTGTTCTCGCTTCAGTTTTCCCTCCTTAATTCTTGTGCTACATCTTTTGTTTTGGTATTATTGTGTTCGCAATATAATTCCCTACAGGGTTATATGCATATAAGGTCCAAAAGCCCACTGTGACTCCCCACAGCAAAGCCTAATTTGGCAAAGTTACCCGTGAGCATGCAAAATCAGTAAAATGTGTATACTCGTTTCAGTTTTCTCACCTTATTTCTTGTGCTACCTCGTTCGTTTTGGTATCATTGTGTTTGCAATACAATTCTCTACAGGGGGGTATATTCATATAAGGTCTAAAAGCCCGGCATGACTCCCCACAGCAAAGCCTAAAGTCGGCCAAGTTACCCGTGAACGAGCACCAATTGCCACACCTGCAGACTAATGTACATACTCGTTCAGTTTGATAACATAAATTTTCGTGTTTCATTTTGGTATGAAATTGTTCGCAAAATAAAGGAGTTTATTTTAAAACTAGTCTCATAATAATAGAACAATAAATGAAAGTTTAGCAAATATTTTAACTTTTGGATGCTCATCACCACAAAATTATTTATATATTTCCAGTATTCTGACACCAATTTTCTTGTTACGTCTTTTATTTTGATATCAAATTGTTTGCCATATAAAGGTGCGTATTTTAAAACTTGTCCCATAGTAATAGAACAATAAATGGAATTTTAGCAAATATTTTAAAATTTGGACCACAAAAGTATTTATTATCTTTCCAGTGTTCTGACACTGACACTGGATCAATTTTCGCGTCATCTTACATTTTGGTATCAAATTGTTCGCAATATAAAGGCGCGTACAGTGGAACCTCGATTAACGAGTGGCTCTATTAACGAGTTTTTCCAGTAACGAGCAAGCCACTCGCAGCAAATTTGTCTCTATTGACGAGCTCGCCTCTATTAACGAGCAAAACCACATGGTGCTTCCTAGCATCTCGCGGGTTCTCGCAAATTCTCGGACGCCTCCGACGCCAGTGTTGTTGTATCGCACACGACAAGCATCCCTCTGGATTATAACAGTCTCCGTGGTGTAGTGGTAAGACACTCGCCTGGCGTTCCGTGAGCGCTATGTCATGGGTTCGTATCCTGGCCGGGGAGGATTTACTGGGCGCAATTCCTTAACTGTAGCCTCTGTTTAACGCAACAGTAAAATGTGTACTTGGATCGTATTTCAGGGACCTGCCCGAAACGCTACGCGTACTAGTGGCTGTACATGAATGTAACAACTCTTGTATATATCTCAAAAAAAAAAAAAAAAAAAAAAAAAAAAAAAAAAAAAAAAAAGATTTATTTGAGCTTTTCTTTGGGTTTTTAGTGGTTTTGCAACTACAATTTGTAACACACGATATCTCCAAAGAAGCTGCTTGCTAAAGATAGTGCTGTCAAGAGGAAGAAAGACACAATTACTGTGGATTTAAAGAAGGAAATTATAGCAAAGCATGAGTGTGGTGTCTGTGTGATTGATCTCACAAGGAAGCATGGCAGGTCGTCATCAACAATTTACACCATTAGTAAGGGAGGATGCTGCCTCTTCCATTGAGATCAGGGAAGTGTTTGCAATGTTTGAAAAGGTGAACACATTCTTGGAAAAGCTGCCCTGATAAAGCAGTGACAACCCGGTGTGTGAAAATGATTAATTAATTTATCACTTTGTGATAACACTTTATGAAAGTGTTATCACTTTCGCAGGTATATGTCGCTTGAACGTGACACACTTTTTTCTCTTGAATGCACCCAAACACCACGCTCAAGCATCATTTGAGCAAATATTTCTATAAAATCCAATTCTTATCCGATCGACTTGGGGATTGTATACATGTTTGCCATGAAATTTCTGTTTTCTTTAATAACCACATTGCCTATTTGAGAAAACGGCATTGTATTGTATCTTCGTGGTAAGACTATTATATTGTTGACACAACGAGTGTAATCGACGTAGTTTTTTATTTGGTGCTGGTCTAACGCATCCTTGTGTGACATTTGAAATGAAATTTGAGTGAAATTCCCAAGAGAGTGTCCGCCTGACTCAGAGGTGGATTCTCCTTCCACACCATAACCCCTCTCCTCCTTCCCACCTCCCCATCGTCTCCCTCAAGCCAGCAACTAATCTTCATAAGGTAAAGTAAATATTAAAACACTACAACAAAACATTTATATTTACATGTGAGTATTATATTTACATAAAAAAAAAGTCATACAAGTATGGATGTTTTTGGGAGTGGAACGGAATAAATTTATTTCCTTTATTTTAAATGGGGAAATTTGTTTAAGACGAGTTTTCCAGGTAACGAGCTCGGTGCCAGAACGAATTAAACTCGTTAATAGAGGTTCCACTGTATTTAAAAAAAAAGTCCCATAATAATAAAAGAACAATAAATGGAATTTTAACAAAAATTTTAACTTTTGGACGTTCATCACCACAAAATTATTTATATCTCCAGTGTTCTGACATCAATTTCCCTGGTATGTCTTTCATTTTGGTATCAAATTGTGGGCAATCTAAAGGCACTCATTTTGACACCACTCCCAGATTGATCAGATAAAATTTATATTTTTAACAAATATATTTATGAGTGACTCGAAACCAAGTCACCTGCGATGACCTAAGAGAAAAATGAGTGACTACGGGGAGGCAATGGAGTGCGATAGTGTTAACCCTTAAACTGCGCAACACATCATATGACGTGTTGAGTAACTTGCTATAAATTGAGCATCGCGTCATGACGTTTTGGAGTACTACACAAGATTTAAACGGCTCGCGGATACACAGAGTTCACCTCGCCTTCATCAGGGCTCTTGTAAACAGACTGCATTTAAAAAAAAAAATCATGGGCCACATTCCCGGGTGTGAGGTCCTCAGTACTGAGTTAGCCACCAAGGCTGGCGCACGTAGCATGAGCTCACAGCAGTGCTGTTCAGCTTGTGACCACACCATCGCCTAAAAATGCCATAATATATATGTACATGCTATTATTTAGCGATGATAGTATTACAGAAGACCCCTGACTGTGATAAAAATGACCAGGATTCTGATAATAGCAGGATTATTGTGATAATTAGCGCTGTAGTGGGAGGAGTAATCTTGGTGGGGAGGGATGTAGTGTTGTCTGCTGACTCTGTGTGATCACTTTTTACTGTCTGGGCTCACTATACCAGCTTAGTTGTTCACTATGGTGAACAAAATACTACAGTATATGCAGATATTTATATATAACATCTGTATATAGTGAATAAAAGCAAAAATTGTATGGTGGGAGGAGAATGTTGGCGAGTCAGATAAGGTGAGAGCGGGAGGGAGGGAGTGACAGCCAGTGGCTAACCTGGTTGATACCTGGTTGATGGGGTTCTGGGAGTTCGTCTACTCCCCAAGCCCGGCCCGAGGCCAGGCTCGACTTGTGAGAGTTTGGTCCACCAGGCTGTTGCTTGGAGCGGCCCGCAGGCCCACATACCCACCACAGCCCGGTTGGTCCGGCACTCCTTGGAGGAATAAATCTAGTTTCCTCTTGAAAATGTCCACGGTTGTTCCGGCAATATTTCAGTGGCGGGCTGCCACTGCCACTCAGCATACCAACGTACTGGTTCGTTATGGTGAACACAAATGTAGATACTTATATATAATGTGTATATACAGTATAGTGTAATAACAGCAAAATGAGTGTGGAGAGAAGCCATTTTGGTGAGGGAGGTGGTGACATCTGCATGATTTATCATGCTGGGTAGGGGGTGGCCACTATGCTCTTTGGGCACTATACCAGCTTAGATGAACAGTTATGGTGAACAGAACATATAGATACTTATATATAACGTCTGTATATAGTGAATAAAAGCAAAAACAGTATGGTGGAGGGGATGATGTGGCGAGAGAGGAGTCATTGAGGGAGGGAGTGGCGGTGAGAGGCTATCCCAGGGACGTGTACACTCACGGGAACCTAGCAGGGGGCGCCACCGAGAAGAACCGTGGAAAGGCAAACACCAGTGGATAATAGGGCAGAACTCCCCACAAGGCAAAGATAAAAAGAAAAACAAAACCCCACAAGAGGACAGCGAACCCCAAGGAAGAGAATTGGTTGCTATGTCGGGAAAACGAAGCTGTGCAGCACCCTGCGCCCTTACCAGTGCAAACTGTCACTTACCTGCAGGTAACAAGGGAGAACAGAACGCCACACACGAAGCACAGTGCTGTAAAGACACTGGAGCCAGAGAGCACGACCTCTGTCTATAGCATCAGCCTCAAGAACTGAGGTGTGGGTAGCTGGTGTGAGGGGTCTGGGGCTTCCCCTTCCCGGGGAGGGTGGAGCTGCGCAGACAGAGGCGCGGCGACGTGTGATGTCATACTAGTTTGCTCGTTTTCTGTTTGGGAGTTCTATCCACTAGTTCTGCTTTTGGTAGCAATTTTAACCTGAATAGGGGTTTGTTTTGGGGCGCTTACCTTTCTGGGTGCCTGATCCGGTCGATGGCAGACATAGAATGCTTCCAACCACACGGGGGGGGGGGGGGATTTCTATAGGCCATTGCTCCCCTTTCCTCTCTGAGGGGTCCAGGTTCTGGCCGTGGTCTCCGGTAGGCCTAAGAACTCCATACACATGACTGATGCCAAAGTCTGACATTAGCATATCAGCCCGGGATAGCTCCGCGGATCCTCCGGGACTCGCCCAGAAAATGGCGTTTCATTACATTCAACGCTGGTTTCTTAGTCTTATCTAATTTCCCTTGTCATCAATACCTAACCTCTGTGGTTCTGTCTTAAAATTTAGGTCTTACTATCCCTCAAACTGTGCATTTTATTAGGTCCTTAATTTTAAAAATTAATACAAATTAATTCCTTCTCTGTTTTGTATCGTAAAACATATATTTCAGCAGCCAGGATTTTTTTTTTGGGGGGGGGGGGCAATAGTGAGGTGAAGTGTTGAAAATGTTACATTTGGATGGACAATTAATTTTAGGTTTATTATTACAAATATCTTCCTGTTCCATAAAAAGTTCTTGAAATTTTGCTTAGCAACAATGTTTGAGTATGGGCATCAATAAATGGATGAAGCACTTGATTTGATGCCCATATTGTTAATAATGTCCAGGAAGATAGCTAAGGCTTTCAGTATTTTTTCCACTGGCAAATAATTGCCAGAGGTCTCTTAGTTTAGAATGATGCCCTCATTGATTATTTAGGCACATTGAATCTTAGAGAGATTAATTGTTAACAAACGACAGAGGCACCATGGGTCTAACGTTTGAGAATCGCAGGGGTATTTTAAGGGTAAGTTTGTCACAGATCTTATTGCTGCCTTCCACAAAAAGATTACCTCATTTCCTCTGCCCAATCAATTATTAACAAAATTATTATTAAATTAGTGGATAACTATTGATCCTAATTTTGGGTTTATTGATCCTTATTGATTTTCAAAACTGAAAAACAGGCTCATTTTTCAAATGGAGGGAGGTAGGGAAGTATCGGGAGAAAGTACTAAGACTTTACGACTATAGCACTGGGAAGGGATCAGGATAAGGATTTGGGATGGGACGGGAGGGGCAAGGAATGGTGCCCCACCACTTGGATGGTCAGGAATTGAATGCAGACCTGCATGAAGCGAAACCGTCGCTCTACCTTCCACCATATTTATATTCATAGCTTATGAATATTTATTATTATTTTATAAGATATGCCTGCCAATGGGAGTGTGAATACTTCCGTTGATCAGCTGTGATCAAACCATTTCTAGTTCTTGTAGTTTTTTTTTTTAAATTGGACTATTTCTTCTTTTCTTTAGATTCTTTCTTTTAACTTATCCTATACTGTACTGTAATTTGACTGATTTATGTTTTTGTTGCACTTTTGAGTTTTTTTTTTTACTGTATATCTAATTTATCTGGTATCGCCTCTCCTCACTTACTATCATCTCTTAGTCTTCTTATTCTCATCAGATCCTCCTAAGAGCAGCATTCTCCCTGCTTGATTCTTTTGTTTTATCTAATCTGTGTTCATTTTCTAATCCCTATTGCCAGTGCTTGATATCCTTTCCCCATTTTTTAAGGTGCAGTTCCCCTCACTCTCTCAATTTTTCCCCCTTCCTCTTATTTTTTTGTCCCCTCAGTGGTAAGAGAGAGGCCCAACAAAGCCATCATCATCCTTGCCTCAATCAGTATTGCTTGGTATGTTTCTGTTGATGTCCATATAATAATTAATTTAATTATTTTTATAATTTCTTTTTCCCAGGGGGACACCAATACTGTGTGTTACCTCTGCACTCTCAACTTCCACGGGAGGACCAGCGCAGGGTGTTTGACCCTGTTCCCGATAATGTTCGAAAGGTAATTTAATTTATTTTGCTTGGAATAATTTTGTTCTTAGCTTCAGTGTGTGTCATTTGATTAAACTGTTTATGATATGTTTCTTGGAGTAATATCTGCTAATTATTCCCCAGATTATCCTGGCTACAAACATTGCCGAGTCCTCAATCACCATTAATGATGTTGTGTTTGTGATAGACTCGTGCAAAGCAAAAATGAAACTCTTCACATCACATAACAACATGACCAACTATGCAACTGTATGGGCTTCACGTACCAACATGGAACAGCGCAAAGGTCGTGCTGGTAGAGTCAGGGCAGGAATTTGTTTCCACATGTGCACTCAGGTATTATTAATTAATAAACCTTTTTTTATTTTCATTCATTTGCATGTCAGAAAATAAAAGGACTTTCAGTATATTAAGTTTGGGTTGTGGTATTTGAATAAATCATTTGTAATAGCTTTTTTTATTATCTATGACTTGCCTATATAAAGATACCATAACAAAAGTGTGTAGTTGTAATATCCAATGTGACTTGGTTAAAACCAAATGTTGGTCATCTTGAGGTTATCTTGAGATGATTTCGGAGTTTAGTGCCCCCGCGGCCCGGTCCTCGACCAGGCCTCCACCCCCCAGGAAGCAGCCTATAGCAGCTGTCTAACTCCCAGGTACCTATTTACTGCTAGATAACAGGGGCATCAGGGTGAAAGAAACGTTTTGCCCATTTGTCTCCGCCTCCACCTGGAACCTCAGGATTACGAATCCGAAGCGCTGTCCACCCAACTGTCAGGCGCCACGTGTCAGTGACCATTGCTTTGGCATAGTTCAAAAGTTTGTCCATCTTGATCCAGTGGTCTGGCATGTAATTATTTGGCACAATATTTGCCATGCCTTTGGCAATGCAAAGGTGAGATAATTTCTCATTTGCTTGTAAGGAGATCAAATCAGATGATATATTAGTAGTCAAAACTCAGCTCCCAAGCAATTTGGATAGAATTAACAAAATAATAATTGCCTAACATTAGAAGTTATTTATAAGACTTCCAAACAAAAATAGAAAGGAAGGCATCTATATGGGCAGATGTATTGGGAGTGTCTAGGCAAAGGGGCACTAGTGAATAATGTCGAAATGAAGAGCATGTTAGGAACCAGTAATCATTAGAAAATACATGCAAAATTACTGGTGAGAAAATACCAGGTTTAAAAAAGCAAGTTTAATCCCTAAGCTGGAGTGATATCACCATAAAAAGTCACAAGAACATGGCCTGACTGAAGTTCAGCAGTGCTAACAAATTGTCTGAATGCTGTCATGTCCCATTTTGAAACATCGGTCCTCAATATACAAATAAATATAAATGGTGTGAAACAATAAAATAAAATGCTGCCAAAAATAACAAAAATCTTGCTCAACAAAGAATAAAGAAAGCAAAAACTATCAGAATACGTTACGCTGTTTTTTATGGCAAATAACATAAAAGCCAATTTGTCTGCAAGTGTAATTATTAATACATGCATAAATGAAAATGCTAAAACAACCCCAGAGAGATTTTACAGTTCTTTTTACACCCAATCGAGTGATGCTATGGAAGAAGATGGGGGAAAATTTTGTCAAACAAAATGCTGAGTGACATTCAATCTAGTAAGATCAAGCCCAAGTGCAGTGTAAAGCTTTGTTTCTCAGGGCACAGTCCTTGCATTGCTGCTATTTCTCATTTTTATCCGATATAGACAAAAATACTAGTCACAGCTTCGTGTCATTCTTTGCAGATACAAAAATTCAGTGTGAAAATTGCCACCGTAGAAGACACTGAAAACTACAGGCAAACAAATAAAGATTTGTTCATAAATAAAGTATTCGATTGGGCAACTGAAAATAACATGATGTTTAACGGTGATAAGTTCCAGGTACTGAAGTATGGTGGAAACGAGAAACTTGAATGAAACACAGGGTACAGGACACAATCAGACCTACTTGTTGAAGGAAAGTAACATGTAAAAGATCTGGGAATTATGATGTCTAAAGACCTGACATTTAGTGAACATATCCAAGCATATATAGCGGCGGCCAGGAAAATGATAGGATGGATTATGAGAACGTTCAAATCGAGGGATCCCACAGCAATGCTAACTGTTTAAATCACTGGTGCGTTCCCGTCTTGAGTATTGCTCGGTACTCACTTCCTTCTTTCAGAGCAGGAGAGAGCTCTGAATATACATATATCACACATAGAAATGAATAAACATCTAAATTATTGGGATTGTCTCAAAGTTCTTAAAATGTACTCTTTGGAAAGGAGAGGAGAAAAGTGCCGGCTGCCAAATTTGCACAGTAGAACAGCAATATATTGGAGCAAAAGATACGGAAGGAATTGCTGAATAGAACCGTTGAGGAGTAGAGGTGCTATAGGCACAATCAGAGAAAGCTGCCGGAACACCAGGGGTCCACAGCTGTTCAACACCCTTCTAGCAAGCATTAGAAACATTGCTGGAATGAAGGTGGAGGTATTCAAGAGACACTTGGACAGGTTCTTGGAAGAAATGCCAGACCACCAGGCTGTAGTGGATATGTGAGCCTGCGGGCTGCTTCAAGCGACCCCCTGTTGGACCAAGTTATAAGTCCAAATGTTACGGCACAAGTTGAGCCCCAAGCCAGGCTCAGCGAGTAGAAAAACTTCCGAAACCCTCTCCAGGGAACCTAGTTTGAGGAAGCAGATAAGGCAAAAATTGTAAAAGATGTCCATGTGGGTGGTAATGGATGAATGAAGAAATTATCCAATGAATTTGAGACTAAAAGTGAAGAACAGCCCATGATGGTGGTCAGGGCTTATTATTGTGGATGGTGAAGCTTATGTAAGTTGTGGTAAGCAAATGAGTCTAATTGCATCAGTGTATTAAGTGGAAGTAAATGTTTATTTAATACCAGTTCATAATCAATATTTTTAGTTGTGAAATGGTATGGTGCCTTTATGGATGGTTTGTTTATTAGTGGTGGTGGTTTTCCATGATGCTATGTAGTATGTAATGGATGCAGTTTTAAAATGATCAGCCTTGTTGGCTTATTCTGTTCCTTTGTTATTCTCTGATACAATGTTATCCTGGCCCATAAATTTTTGTTTTTTAATAATTTTATTATAACTGAAGAGATTTTTTTCGACACTAATAAAAGTCTTGTCTGAACTACTCTCAAATATAAATGTGTGTATGTAAGTGCCTTTCAGTCAGTGTAATTTGGGAAAGGTATAGTCTTACTGTTCTCAATAAAAAAAATCATTTCAGGCTAGATTTGAAAGACTAGATGAACACATGACACCTGAAATGTTCCGCACACCATTGCATGAAGTGGGACTCTCAATTAAACTTTTGCGTCTTGGATCCATTGGAGAATTTCTTTCAAAAGCAATTCAAGCCCCACCTATTGATGCTGTTATTGAAGCAGAAGTCACATTGAGAGGTAAGGTAGAAAATTATCTTGGCACTATATTTACAGTAATTATCTACCATTAAATTTATATAAATGTGTGTGTGTGTCTGAAGATAGAGACCAAAACTTGTGATCAAGCTCGTGCAATTTTTCCACGGTAATTTGTGATTGTATAGTGACAGGGTTGGGGTTGACCTTCCCTGCCCCACTTTAGGAAAGATTGGCTCCTATTTTGGCAACCAATGACTCATATGAAGTCTCAGATGGTGTTTTGTTTACATAGTTTTTCAAGGGTTTTTCAGTTGTTCACACCATATAATTCGTGTTATAATGTTGAATAGAAGTAACATTTTGACACACTAACAGCTACATTGTGTGTGTGCTGGGTTATGTATATTAAGGGGTGGAGAATGAGAGAGGGGGGGGAGAGCGAGTGAGTTTGTGATATCTCCTGACTTCTAGAAAATGTGCTGAACTGTTGGACCAAATGGGCAACAATGGTATTCAGACAGTAACAAAACACAAATTGTCATGTGATGATAAGTTCATTAACATAAGCGATCAACACACAACTGATTATACTTTAGGGTTAAACAAATGGATGGTGGTGATAATACAATTTATTCATCAGTTTGAGTGAATTTGAAATAGTGAGAAGTGTCATCAACACACTAGACATGGCTGTGTAGAAGCAGTGTGTCAGTATAGTGAATGCATTTGCAGGTATTGTATATGAAAATTCATAATAAACACTATACACAGTTTTGTGAAGCAGATTGGTACAAGAGTTCAGTGATACAGCAGCTGTTTAATGCTGTAAAGTGGGAATCATTACACTATACAAATCCTTATTCATTATTATTGAATTAAAAAAAAATTTCACTGTTCTCATTTCCGTTTCACTTTCATGTGAAAGTGGGATGTATAATATCGTGTGTGTATGTACACTACCATTAATTTATAACAAATCTTGAAAGCCATTACAATTATAAATGAATTGTTTCAGAGATGAAGTGTTTGGACAGTAACGATGAACTTACACCTCTGGGCCGTATCTTAGCAAGGCTACCCATTGAGCCTCGCTTGGGGAAGATGGTGATTCTTGGTTGCATCTTCTTTTGTGGGGATGCCATGTGTACCATTGCAGCTCACAATTCTACTTCTCCCGAAATTTTTATCATCCGTAAGTGATACAGGGTTAAGTGATACACTTAGGTTATTGTTGCTATTTTGAAGTTTGAGCTATACAGGTATGTATCAACAGTCTGTTTGATCAGGTAGTTACTGAAGATGTTTTGCCTCATATTGGGTTACAGCAGAAAAAATTCCTGTAACAGTCCAATGGTAATCACTTTACCCGTAGGCTGTGATTCACATCCTACCAACAGGGTTCTGGGAGACAGTGTGACCATGTAATGATAAATTATCTGGTCTGAACTTTAGCAAAACGCACATTCGGTAATTATTTGATGTTAATTAATTGTGATAAAAGGGTCTCCTTGTATGAGCTTTTGGAAATAATGGACCATAGAGAGAACAAGAGTGCAACAACATGTCAGGGTAAAAGCTGGGAAACTCCAGTGAGTTAAAAGTAAAGGAAGTGCTTGGAAAGAGTCCTGGACAGGCCAAAACATTGACACTTTCCTTATTTTCATGTGTTTGTTGGGTTATGTATTTTAACACTTTCGCGCTCTCCGCAAAAAAAAAAAAAAAAAAAAAAAAACTTGCCTCCATGTGCACGCGGTGTTTCGGGAGATCGAGCAGCATTTGGAAGAAAATGTAGAATAGAACCAATGAAGAGCAGAGGTGCCATAGGCACAATCAGAGAACACTGTATAAACATCAGAGGTCCGCAGTTGTTCAACGTCCTCCCAGCAAGCATAAGAAATATTGCCGGAACAACCGTGGACATTTTCAAGAGGAAACTAGATTTATTCCTCCAAGGAGTGCCGGACCAACCGGGCTGTGGTGGGTATGTGGGCCTGCGGGCCGCTCCAAGCAACAGCCTGGTGGACCAAACTCTCACAAGTCGAGCCTGGCCTCGGGCCGGGCTTGGGGAGTAGAAGAACTCCCAGAACCCCATCAACCAGGTATCAACCAGGTATCAACCAGCAACGCTGAAAAGTGTATACTCTCTTCACTGTCCTGACCTTAATTTTCAATGTATGTATTTCATTTTTGAAGCAATGTGTTTGCAATAGAATGTTCTAGAAGAATATACATATAAGATCACCAAAGCATGAGTTAGACCAGCACAAAATGAAGAACTACGTTGATCACTAGCCGTGAGTATCAAACAGCGACGAAATGTTTCTACTCTTTTTCAGGGTTGTCAACTCCACACTTGTCCTATAGCGTTAAATTTGGTATCACTGAGATCACAATAAAATTCCCTACGTGGACATATGCATATAAATGTAGAATCATGATCGCGGCCCACCCGCAAGAGTGGGGAAGTGGCTGAAGTGTTACCCGTTATGGCACATCGGCGAAACCCCTATTGAAAAGTGTATATTCTTTTCACTGTCCTGACCTTAATTTTCGATGTACGTATTTAATTTTTGTACCAATGTGTTCGCAGTAGAATGTTCTAGAAGAACATATATATAAAATGTCACACAAGGATGTGTTAGACCGGCACCAAATAAACAACCTACGTCTATTACACTCGTTGTGTCAACAATACAATGCCGTTCTCCCAAATAGGCTATGTGGCTATTAGAGAAAACGGAAATTTCATGGCAAACACGTTTATACTATCCCCAAGTCGATTGGATAAGAATTGGACTTTATAGAAATATTTGTTCAAAAGACGGGTAAACATGACGTGTGCGTGTAATCAATAGAAAAATATTCGTCGGTCAAACCCGACCGAGGAGCGCAAAAGTGTTTTAAAATACTTTATTATAAGTTATTGTGATAGCTTAATCATAGACATGATTTCAGTTGACATTTTTGTTTGATGTTAATTTTTGACCATTTTGGAAAATTTTTGACACATAATTCAGTATTTTTTCTGGGAGGAGCTCCTATGGCTCATTGGAGCTATCCAGGCTGATATGCTAATGTCAGACTTTGGCATCAGTCATGTGTATGAAGTTCTTTTGGCCTGCCGGGGACCACGGCCAGAACCTGGGCCCCTCAGAGAGGCAAGGGGAGCAATGGCCTATAGAAGCCCCAGTGTGGTTGGAAGCATTCTGTCTGCCATCGACTGGGTCAGGCACCCAGAAAGGTAAGCATCCCAAAACAAACCCCTATTCTGGTGAAAATATTGCTACCAAAAGCCGAACAAGTGGATAGAACTCCCCAAACAAGTTTGCACAAGCAAACTAGTGTGACGTCATCTATTGCCGCGCCACCGTCTGCAACTCCCCCCTCCATGGGAGGGGGAAGGGGGAGCCCCAGATGCACCGCGCCGGCAATCCACACCCCAGTTCTTCAGACTGCTGCTTTCCGAAGGGGTCCCTGGGTTGTTGATGCTTTGTTGGTTAGGGGGGGTGCATCATGTTTTGTGTCCAGTTGCGGCTCTCCGCCGTTATTTGCGCGCCACGGCTTCTGTGTCCGTGGATGCGTTTTGGGTTGATCCAGTTTCCCTTCTTCAGTGTTTGCGGGTGCGGGTCTCCCAGGTTGTCCGCAGGGTTATTAAGGCTAGGCAGCCTGCGGTCTATCCCCGTGCCCATGACGTTTGCAAGTTCGCGGCTCTTGCCGCCGTCTTTGGCAATATGTCTTGGGCTGACATTCGGGCACAGGGATTTTGGCTGTCGAACAGGGTCCTGGCTGCTCGTTACCCTGTTAACGTCCCTGGGCCCAGTCGGGCCTGTGTCGCTTTGGGTCGGCGGATGCAGCCAGTTGTCTTGACTTTGGGTTAAGGAGTGAGCAGCAATCCCCTCCTGGGGTAAGTCCCTCTTTTTTCCTCTGTGGGTATTTAGCTCCAAGGAGCCATAGGGGCTCACCCCAGTAAACCAGCGTTGAATGTAATGAAACGCCATTTTCTGGGCGAGACCTGGAGGCTCCCTGGCATCCCTCCCTCCCACCGGTCGGCGGTTTTTTGCATGTTTTGACATCCAGCCTCAGAACTGGGGTGTGGATCGCTGGTACGGTCTGTCTTGGGCTCCCCCTTCCCCCTTCCGGGGAGGGGGGAGCTGCGCAGACGGTGGCATGCCAACAGGTGACGTCACACTAGTTTGCTCCTGTTTGTTTGGGGAGTTCTATCCACTTGTTCGGCTTTTGGTAGCAATATTTTCACTAGAATAGGGGTTTGTTTTGGGATGCTTACCACTCTGGGTGCCTGACCCGGTCAATGGCAAACATAGAATGCTTCCAATTACCCGGGGGCTTCTATAGGTCATTGCTTCCCTTGCCTCTCTGAGGGGGCCAGGTTCTGGCCGTGGTTCCCAGTAGGCCCAAAGAACTCCATACACATGACTGATGCCAAAGTCTGACATTAGCATATCAGCCTGGATAGCTCCGGGGAGCCCCCGGGTCTTACCCACAAAATGGCGTTTCATCACTGTTTTTTTCTCTTCCTATTTATGCTACGATGCTCAGACTTGAGCCAGTTGAACCAAATTTTAAATACAACTAGTCAAAAAAGTTTTATTGAAATCGAACCAGTTTTCATTATCCCATTTTCGGCAATATGCCCCTTTAAGGGTACCACATGCCAGCGCAATGCTTGTTTTGGTTATTTCAGTATCCTGAATTGAAAGAAGCTAAAGGTCAGCATTACTATTGACTGAATCACTAAAATACAATATTTTTAGGAATTGTTTACTTAGGAATAATGGAAGGTAAATTAGATTATTATATACATTACTGTAGTTGGAATATCTATTAATTTTTAATTATTGGTTTATTATAGCTCCCGAATACCGTCGACTTAGCCCATTCCAGCGAGCTTTTGCTGGTAACAGATACAGTGACCATATAGCAGCTTTAAATGCATTTTACTCGTGGGAAGAAGCCAGATCTGGAGGAGAAGATGCAGAAATTAGGTTTTGTGACTACAAAGGACTTTCTATGCCAACGCTTAGAGTTACATGGGAAGCAAAGGTCAGTTAATATTTATGCTTTCATATATATTTACTTTAGATCATTTTATCCTGCAATTGTGTGTTTGAATAGTCATTCAAGACAGTGGCAGTGAAGACACATTTACATGAATTCATGGGCATGTTCCATAATGCATTTGTATTTTCTCTTATGCTCTAAATGTCTTATATGTTACTTTGAGGAACACACCAACTTAGAAATGGTTACATTTAACATTAGATATTTTAGTTCTTTCAGGCATATTGTCCATAACCTGCTTACTTTGCATATAATAGTTACTGCATATTCCTCAACATGTGCAGCTTTCTGTATTTCAGTTTTTTGTTTTATCAGCTTCTTACTGTATTGGACTCCTACACTGTCAAATCCAGTCATGCTCACATTAAAAGTTTTTTTTAAATCTAACATAACACAAGTATGCAATGATATAGTGTTCCCATTACATATTGCTTGAAGGTAAATGTAATTTGTTTTCCAAATCAGAATCAGCTGAAGGAGTTGCTTGTGAATACTGCTGGATTCCCAGAAGAATGTCTTTTACCTCAAACATTCAACTTTTATGGCCCAGATCCTAAGCTGGACATGGTGGTGGGCCTCCTAGCTTTGGGACACTATCCCAATGTTTGTGCTCACAAAGAGAAGCGCAAGGTAAGCAATATTTTTTCAATGGAAGTTGTCAAAATTAAAAAAAAAAAATTATATAATAGCAGAGCCTTTTGGCTTATAATATACAATTTTTAATTATTTACAACCAGTTTTCTTTCTCATTCAAGATCCATAGTTAACACTTTCACCCGGGCATGACGCAGCATTGCGTCATCCACTTTAAATAATCGCCAAAAATCAGGTTTTTATCCAATTTTTTGGGGACTGGTTTTAAAATGCGTGCCGATGTCTTCCCATTTTCCTTGTTGCACCTCGTGGCCCACAGGCGGCTCGGCACACGCTGTCGGCCCATTGTTTTCGCTCCACTGTTGTGACCAATGTCACCTCCCCTCGCATCTCAAACGTGTGAACATTTCGGCTATTTTCCGTGGCTATATTTCTTACTGCGGCTTTAGAAACTATACGATTACTCCACGATGGTTAGTGATCATGAACAAGGCCCTTCCAGAAAGAAAATTGCGAAAGAAAGGCTTAAAAAGGGTGGGAATTGGGAGTGTAGCTGGAAGGAGTCTGAGCGCTCACTCGCGGCTAACGCGTGGCCCGTCTTCAACTCGTCGGCGGTTGGAGCGTGACCAGGTTTTTTATTTTATATGCAAATGTTCCTCTAGAGAATTCTATTGCGAACCCATTGAGACCAAAATGAAAGACCTAGGACAAAAATTGAGGTGACCAGAGTGAAAATAGTGAAAACATTTTATCGCGTTTGCGTGCTCCTGGGTAACTCGTTCGCACTTTCTCTGTTTGCTGTGGGTAATTAGCCGGGCTTTTGGAGCTTATATGCATTTAGTGCTGTAAAGAATTCTATTCCGAACACAATGATACCAAATTTAATCTCGTAGGACGAGAATTAAGGTGACAAAGTTGAAGAGAGTATACACTTTTCAGAATTTACGCGCGCTCCCGTGACACCCTGGGACCCAAATCGCACAGTTGAGGGGGTGGCGCGCGGGGTACGCCAAAGTGTTAAAATGCCCTTTTTTTTTTTAATGTTAATTTGCTGTATGTGCACATTATCTGAAGAATACCTCCATGTACTGGCTCAAAATGTTTTTCTAAGAAAGTTATAATTGTTTCCTGGAGTTGATTTTTGCTTAAATTGGGAGTTTCTAGAGTCTGAGCTACATTGGCTACACGTACAGACAAGGATAGAGTTTATATGGCGTTTTGAAATTTAAGGCTATTTACATGAACTGAAGCTTGTGCTTTAGAGTGAGAGTGTGCTGAAAGCCTATATTAATATAGTTCCTAGATTGTTTATCCATAGCCCATGTTAAGACTCAAAAGTCTATTTAGAGGATCCAAGCAGAAGGCACATTTCTCTGAATTCTTTAGAGAATAAAATATTCATGCAAGATTGGCAAACATAAGGAAAGCAGATACAGATGGTGGGGGGCGGTGGTAGTAGGAGTGGGTGTCACAAAGTCACGCACATGACAAAGACCTGGGCACTGCTGGGGACCGCTTCTAGTTTTTGTATGGGAATATTTGTGTATGCGCATGAGTGAGTTTTAATATTCTCATTAGAACAGTTTATAATGTTTCCTTCTATTGGCAGGTATTAACCACAGAATCTAAAGCGGCTCTTATTCACAAATCATCTGTCAACTGCAGTAATCAAGAATTGATCTTCCCTTCTCCGTACTTTGTATTTGGAGAAAAGGTTTGTGTAATAATAAAATATTTTTACTTGCATATCAAAGACAGGATTCGTTCAACTTAATTGACACAGTCACAGATATGAACAGTAGATGTGATGGCAGTTTGTAAGCAAAACTGGCCGAGTGGTAGAAATTTGATTGCATGAAATTATAGGTGTAAAATTTATTAAATTTTATTATAACGTTGCTTATATTTTGGTCTATTATTCATGTTGAATTCTACTCATTTGTACTGTTAACTCAACTATATAAATGAAGACATTGGAAAATAGTATACTCTAGTGTCTTAATATAAATGTTGGTAACAAGACATTTCCATTATAGATTCGCACTCGGGCCGTATCGTGCAAACAAATGACAATGGTGACACCCATTCACTTGATGTTGTTTGGGTCTAGACGTGTAGAAGCTGTGGAGGGTGTTGTAAGTATACGCCACTTCTTGCTTGTGTCGTACACTGCATATTTAATACAAATATTTTTATTATATTCTGAATTAGTTATGTTCTACAGATTTTAATGGCTAATATGGCATGTCTAACCAAATTAATTTTTCAGTAGAAATACTTATGACTTGGCAACAAGTATTTTCTGCATTTTTTGAGTTTGTCTAACATGTGGGTAGCAGTTTTGCTTGTTTGCTGCTTTCCAAGTAAACAAAGAAGATAGCATTGGTCTGTTGTGCTGCCGGCCTCAAATATTTCTCGGCATTGTTTACCATCATATGAATTGGTTAGATGAGAATATTTTTCTGTAAAAATAAAGTGGTTTCCCTGTATCATGGTATCATGTAGAGTTGGGCACCGATTGAGATATTTTACTATTGCCAGGTGCTAGGAGAGCCAGGGACATTGGATGTTAAGTTATAGATTTTATTCTTTAAAAAGTGATTTTATTATCTAAAATATTTTCTTAGAGGAATACAATTTTGTCTAGATTTTCTTACATGCATTTGGCATTATCATACAATTAATACCATATTAAAATGGGTAGTTGTACATTTACATCTACATTTCTCATAACAAATATTTGAAATTTTAATTCCTGGAAGGGTAAATAAGCTTCTGAAATATTATCCTTAAAGGAGTTAGTTTTGAAAGGACAGTCTTAGTTAATTTATTTTTTAGTCTCTCCAGCATTGGTGGACATTGACCCTTAAACTGCACAAAGCATCGTATGATGCTTTGAGTAACTGTTGACAAATTGCGCTCGGCATCATATGATGTTTGGGAGTACCACGCAAGATTTAAAAGTCCCGCGGCTACACGAGGTTCACATCAGCTTCCTCAGGGCTCTTGTAAACAGACGCCATTTTTAAATAAAAATCGTGGGCAGCATTCCTGGGTGTGAAAGCCTCGGTGCTGAGTGAGCCACTAAGGCTGGCGCACGCAGCATGAGCTCACAGCACTGCTGCTCAGCTTGTGACCACAGCATCGACTAAAAATGTCAAAATCTATGTAACTGGTATTATTTAGGGATGATAGTATTACAGAAGATCCCTGATTGTGATAAAAATGTAAAGGATTCTGATAATAGCAGGATTGTTGTGATAATTTGTGCTGTGCATAGTATTGTGGGAGGAGTAAATATGCCAGCTTGATGCACCAAACTCTCACGAGTCAAGAGGGAGAACGGCCTATTGACATAGCTCGAGTGCATGGGGGAGTTGTGTAAAACCCTGGTTTGCCTCTCTGAGAGGCTGCAGGATCCAGTAAGTTCAGTAGAACTTCGGCTTCAACTCTTTTGACCATGTCGTAGCTCAGTCGATTAAGGCAGCGTCTGGGATGCTCCTGGACTCGGGTTCGAATCCTTGTCATGACCCTTGTTGATTTGTTCATTTATGCACTCCATAATTTTGAGTATAGCGATGATTCTCACATTTTATTATATAAATATATCACACTACACACTATTGAATAATATTACTTCAAAAAACTAAGAAAAATCAATTAGACATTGAAATAATTAGGTAATATATCTTTGTGGCAACTCCCGCCTGACTGCTGGAGCGGAGCAGATGTCTTCTTGCACTTGCTCTGTCATCCTCTTTTTTTGCCAGACTTCCCCACCCTATTGTGGCCAAAATATGCCACCTACAATTTATAATTTTTCCTGTGATCAGGGAACACAAATGAACATTTACAAGACATATATATTTTTTTTTTTGTGCCTGTGAGTGTTGAAGGCCACACAGCCCAGAGCAGTTTAGGGGTTAGGATATTAAATGTTTTGTAGTAATGTCATTGTGGGTGTTAATGTGTTTACTTTTTTTAGATTCGCTTGGATGGTTGGATTAATTTAGATCTCTCAGCTGAACTTGCATCGAGAATACTAACACTGAGGCCGTGTTTGGAAGCTCTTGTTATTAGAGGAGCAACCAGTCCTGAGGCTATAACTGAGCCTTCACATCAGGATGAGCAGGTTAGTTAAAATTCTTTGAACTGTATTGCATTCAGAGGATTTGGTTAATATGCCTTGGTAAGGGGCCTGTGATATTTTCCCGAGTTAGCTGCGTCCCAGTGAAGTACTGTATAGTATGATGTGATAAATCTGTGGTAAATGAGGGACAAAATGAAACTACACTATACCTGAACCAAGAGAAATGAGTGAGAGATCATCCTTACATTCTCTAAGGATTACTAAATTTGTTAACTTGGCCCTAAGTGTAAGGATAGGTTGAATTAACATCAAGGGAACTGTTTTTGTTGAAAGTGATAAAATGTCACAAGTTCAATGTATTGAAAAAGTCTTGATAGAGTGCCAAGATGGATATAGATACCAATACTTGTGTATTCCATAAAGAATATATTTTTATAATTTATGTTGTTGTAAATTTGTAAATTAACTTTCAGGTCATGAACTGTGTTCGCCAGTTGTGCCGCATTAATGCAGGCCGTTACAATATGGAGCCAATTGGTATGGGAGGATTTAATACACCTAGACCTCCCCGACAATTTGGTGGGCCACCCATGAAGAGAATGAGGTCAGATGATGGAACAGGTAATGGCATTTTACAGTAAGGTATTACGGTTAAATTACATAAATATACATAGTATAAGGTAAAAGGCAAAATCAAGTCTCGGCTAGTGCTCATGAAAGAATATTTAAGGACATTATATTTACCTCCAAATTTTATGGCAGATTCTGAAAGCAAGTGATACATGTTTATGCATATTTACTCTCACAAAATATAAACTGTGATTTTTGTGGGTATAAGTATTATTTGTAAGTAATTTAATTAATCTTTTTGGAGCACAGGCTGAAACACAAGTGATCCGATTTTTTTTGTTTTGTTTTTTAAATACTGTGCTGTACTGTTCGTTACAGACGTCATTACAAATTTGACGTAATGGCAGTGCTGTAATTAACTATAATTTGTATTATTTATAAAGCTATAGTATTGTTTTATTGCAATTCAAAGTACCATATACATATACAGGTGTACCTCGGTTTAAGAATTTAATCCGTTCCTGACTCGCTAAAAACTTCTCTTCAATGTACATTCTATACCTAATTCACCCAAATCTTCACTACAAAAGTATGTTCAAGTTATTACCTTTGCTGATGACTCCTGTTGGTGTATGGAAGATGTTGAGGAGTGGGGAGGAGGAGAGGTGTTACTGTTTGGAAGGTGAGTCCCCTTCCTTCCAGGACCTGTTTGTGGCTCACTGCTTTCTTGTCTTACTAAGAATCTGGCTTAAGACACTTGTTTTTCCCTACATCTTAACACTTGTCTGTAGTAAGACATCACATTGTCATTTAAAAGGTCAATGCAAAGGCCTGCTACAGCTTTATCTGGGTTAGTTTTTTCAACAAAACTTTGCAGTTCTTCCCATACTTCACACATTTTCTTAATGAGGAAGGGACATCCTCTATGCAACTGTTTTCTTAGGTAAACCTTTACACTGGCTTTCTTGGGACCCATGGCAATATATATAATAACAACTTTTATGCTCATATGGCCAAAAGGCTGACAAGAAAATGGTAAATTCTTGTGAAGAATTCAGGCGGGATAGTCACTGGGCGCAAGGCACTGGTAAACTGAGGTGTGATCGCTGTGCCACCACGCGCTAGGTCGGCCGTATGCACATCAACAAACTCGTATCCCGATTCAAATTTTCTGAACAAATCGGGCTCATAGCCCGAAAAGTTCGTAAACAGGGCCATTCGACATTCGTAACCCGAGGTACCACTGTACAGTACTCTGTAACTTTAATAAAATTTTTAGAAAGAAACATTTTAAGGGCCTGAATTTTACTGACATTTCAACAACTTAGGTTTTAGCAGAGCCCAGCACTGAACGATCTGGGCACAGTTTGCATATAGGTGGTTGTATTGAGTGGATACTTACCTTATTATTATACTTATTTATTATTGTAAATTTTTAAGAATTTTAAATTGCCTGAAGTGACTTTAAACAGTTCATCAGGTGTTAAATTAAGACTTGCAGAATGTTTGAGGCGGCATATGTGTGTGTAATATTACAGTATTTTGTTTAAACATTAAAAAAAGCTGAATTTAATTTTTTTCTTTACAGGCGGTTTTCGAGAATCAGAAGGAGGTTTCAGGGGTGGTTATAGCAACAACAGTGGATTTGCTGGTGGCCGGGGCTATGGTCGTGATGGAGGATTTAGAGGTGGCCGTGGAGGATTTGGCGGTGGCCGTGGTGGTCGTGGGGGTTTTGGTGGCAACCGTGGAGGCTTTGGTAGCAGCCGTGGAAGCTATGGAGGAAACTCTGGAGGCTATGGAGGAAGCTCTGGGGGCTATGGAGGAAGCTCTGGGGGCTACGGAGGAAGCTCTGGGGGCTACGGAGGAAGCTCGGGAGGCTATGGAGGAAGCTCGGGAGGTTACGGAGGAAGTTCTGGAGGTTACGGAGGAAACTCTGGAGGTTATGGAGGAAGCTCTGGAGGTTTCAGTGGTAAAAGGGAATATGGTGCAGACTAAGAACTATGTATGGAAAGCTTGATGGACATTGGCACACTGCATAGTAATGTGTTCTAGTTTTTCCCATACAAAGATGCCAGTAATAAATAGCTATTGAACAGTTAAGCAGCTGTTCACTGAACTAAAAGGAATAATTGAATAATTGTTTTGGCAAATGAGGAGGAAATAAATGTTTTTGAAATACACAGTACATTATGATGGATATTCCAGTAACATAATGAAACATGTTTGGTATTGGTTAGTGCACAATACAGATCAAAAATTTTGCATTTTTTGTTTTAAATTAATAATCTTGTACAATATATTGATTAATATACACATAAAATGGGTGATAAATGTTCTGGAAATAATGATCATATAAATTTACATTACAGTCCCAATGGATGTAATAATAAAACCATGATACTGTACTGTTTTGATTAACATCCTGAACAGGTCACAAATCAAACATTTTTCATTACAGTAATTTCTTAAGTTGTGGTAGATATCAAAATAAAGTTGTAAAATTGTCTTAATTGAAAATACTGTGTTTAATTTTTTTTAGTGAACTTGTGCAATTTGAATTACATTCATGGGTAATTGTTTTGGCAAATGAGGCAAAATTTGGCAAAATTCTGATATATTTAAACAATACTAATAAGGAATATTGATGGGTTTACAAACTTAGTACAAACTATAGAATACTTTAGTTTTAAATCATGTTTTTGTGGATTAAATTTACTGTAATAGTAAAACTGTATCACAATAATAAATTACAGTTAATACAGTACCGTATATAGTTTTCAGAACATTCTAGATTTAAAAGTATCATTGCCCCTATGCAATTCTGTTGTGTATTGTCATTGTATATGGCAATTTAAGATTTGTGTGCATATAATTATACCAGCACCTGAAGCAAGTCAAACTATATTAGTGTCTTCCCTTAACTTTTTTCAAGAAGGAACAATTAAGTAAATTTTCTTTCCAGGACATGTCAAGTTAATATAGATTAGCATTCAGTGCTTTCTTACTAATTGCATGAATTGCAACACAGGAAAATAATATTTTACACTTCTGGTCAACAGGGAATTAATAATAAGTAAACAAAGTGGGAGACTGAGAACAGTTATAACAAGCATGATGTATACATAGAGCATGAAGCTGATTTTGAGGGATTGACGAGTTACTTGCTGAGGGTAGATTGGGCAGAGCTGATCATGAGAGGTGACTTGAACTAGTATATTCTGCAGATGCAAATTCTAATGCATTTACAAACTTTCTAATTGAGGTTTACGGGCATTGTATACCATGAAAATTAATTAGGTTCAATAATATTGGCCTAAATGGTTAATCATGGGACTAAAGTAAACTTTACATTATATTATAATGGTGAACTGATTTTTTCTAAACAATTTATTATGCTAGGCAGTACCATAAAAAAAATATATAAATTATGAAGTGCATATAGCAGAGCAGCAAAGTCAAGCAAAGATTTTTTCCAGGTATGGGTAGAAGTCATTGAAAAATGAAATGGGTCAGATAAAGGTTAATGGCAGAAATAAGTTGAATTCTATAGTACTTGTCAATGCTCTATTGTCAGCATTGGAGAACTATATTTGACTTGTAGCTGAACAAATTGTACAAAACGTTTGACGGAAGGTAACACACAATTTTGACTAGGTAAACTAACAAATCTATTTTACTGTTGATTTAGATTTGTATGTAAAAATAGCAGTAAACTGGAAATTTTTAATTAATGGAATTCAGGTTTTTGTAAACATTGTCTATAAGGATTTTCCAAAAAAATTTTGGTGTACTTGATGGAAATGTAGTGCTAGTATTTTTTATCCATAATGAATAGTAAAAGGGCTAATCTAATATTAAATCGTTAAATCATAAAATTAGTCAGAACAACATTGTCCTGCTAAAAGTATTTCAACAACTTGTAGAATGTCTTGATTTTCAGGTTATATGAAATTTCTTGCTGTTTGAGTCATTTGTCCTTTGGTGGATTTTATCCATTTGAACATTCTGCGACACAAAGGAGGATTACTTTAATGCTAAATCTCGCTGTCTCTCTGCATGATTTGGTAAGCACACTATTAAGCTATAATGGTGCTCAAAATAACTAAACTATATTCCACAGTAAGGAACATTCATATTTGTGGGGCATGATGCCTTCTTAGCATTTTCAGCAAATAAAAAAATGCCAAAAAGTTGGACTTTAGAACCAAGTGAAAGTTGTTCTGTGGTGGCAATAAAATGAATAAATATTTGTTACATTTATATGATTTCCCATCGTATGAAATCAACCCAAAGAAAAGACATAAATGCCACCAGGGAGGGCATTCGGTACACTATTATGAATGAATTCTGGGAAGGATACAAAAGTTAGAAGCAGCCAAACACAATTGTAAGTATTTTGGAAAGCGGTTTAAGAAGTGCCAAGGATGGGTGGATCCTTGTCGGGATTAAAAAATGAATGAAGTTACCAAGAACAGGAATAAAAAGATTAAGAAGGATAAAAAAGCAGCCACAGGAATACAAGAAAATGATAGTATACTGTAATATAAGGTAAAGTTAATACAAGGCATGGTCTGAAATAACCAGGATCCTTCGCACAGCAGCACCAAGTGAAATAGTATTCAATGTTGAAAATTAGCATAAGCTTGGACATTACATGGAAGAATATCACCCTTTAGAATCTGAACTGCAGTAAAGTACTGTAGGTTTATCGTGCCAAACAAGTCATATTGTATAGACAAAGCTTGATCCCCAGATAGCAAATTGTTTAAACATTTCCTTGCACCAGATTCCCTGATTCACTTTGCAGCTAATAATGCCTGAGAGTTTATTGACTGGTGTGGATTGCATCCTAGGTAAGGTCAGTTGTTTGCCAAAGGGAACTCGATAACCCTAACAGACTGTGCTAAAAAAATGGGGAAGCCAACACTTATAACTTTTAGTATTTGAACACACTTGTTACTGGCGTAATTTATTCAGTCTAATATATTTCCACGGTCTTCTGTGGAAAGACTAAATCATCTGCTTTCATAAAGCCTTAAATGTGTACTTCCAGTTACACATTAAGATAAAAATAATTGGCAAAAATATAAATATAGATCAGAAATCTACATAGAGGATTCAGGACACACTACAATCTGTATTAGCCCAGTGAGAATCTGCAGCATTTTCATAAACTTTGCAGCCCCCTGAAAAGTCAAATAAAAATTTAAGTAGAGATATTTGCAACAAGGCTACTGCAGTACCTGAATTAAGAGAACCAAGTCAAAATATGAAGTAGTATACAGTATATATATATAATCACATACAAGTAAGTGAGTAATTATCAAAAGAAGGCACCAAACCATGACGGCTATGTAGCACCATCAAATGTGCGGAATAATCAGAGGGCGCTAAATATCACCAAGGATGCCAATACGAGAACAGAAACGCATAAAGCGAACGATATCAAAAGTATCTGATTCACCAAGAATTCTATTGAGGGACAAGTGACCGTGAATTTGTGATGGAAAGCAAGACACACTCGCCCTCGAAGTCAGGACATTCAACAAGGATATGCACGACCGTAAGAGGGACAATAAGGAGCGGGGTGGCGCTCCATTAAGTGACCGTGAGTTAAGCGTGTATGGCCAATATGTAACTTAGCCAGAGCCGTTTCCCATCGCTGGTTACTGTGGTAGGAGGAAGTAGTAATATGTCCCTGCGTGTCCACAGGGACACATTACCCTAGTACAAACTGCGTACTAAGAGTACGCAGTTTGTTACCAACAGCAGAAGACAAACAACCCTGCCAACGGGCAAGGATGGAGGAATGAATAACTGGGTAAAAGTCGGAATTAGGAATACCTTTATGGGAAATGGGACAAGAGGGGATAGCTTCTTTAGCGGCAACATCCGCACGCTCATTTAAAGAAACACCAATATGGCTGGGAACCCAGCAAAACTCTACGGATTTAATTTTATTAGAGATAAGAAACAGCCAATGTTGAATCTCGACGACCACCTGATGGAGAAGATTAAAGGATCCTAAAGCCATAAGGGCACTACGAGAGTCAACTACAACCACAAAGGAGGATTGACAATGAGAAAGTAGGATTGACAACGAGAAAGTAGGATACGAAGAGCATAGAGAATAGGCAACCCGTTCTCGCAAATTTAATAAGTCAATATTGACTTATTAAATATGTGCATAGGTGACATACTTAACATAATAGATACCCTTAAAAAGATTCATAGAAAACACCGACCTTACCTAACCTTGTTAGTATCTTAAGATAAGCATCTTATTGCTTCGTAATTACAATTATTACTTAACCTATACCTATTATAGGTTAGGTAATAATTGTAATTACGAAGCAATAAGATGCTTATCTTAAGATACTAACAAGGTTAGGTAAGGTCGGTGTTTTCTATGAATCTTTTTAAGGGTGTCTATTATGTTTAGTATATCACCTATGCACGTTGTTAATAAGTCAACTAGCATAATGTTCTGCTGTAAAGATGCTTGTCTCCGGAGGTAGGCGACACATATAAGTGCGGTCAGGAAAAACAACAGAGTAGCCTACACCGTCCGCAGACTTAGGCCCATCGGTGAAGATGGAAAAGGGCGGTAGTGTGAAGAAAACTGCTCAAGGAAAAGGCGTTTCAGAACTGTAGGAGTAAAAGCTTTAGTGATGTGGGTCAGGGATTTGCAATATTGAGGAAGGGGGACCCTCCACGGGGGCAAGGACGGAACAACACTAGGAGAAATATTAGTAATACTAACCGAAAGAGAATGTTGCAGGCGAGACGTTGAGTCAGTCAGGCGCAGTGACAGTGAGAGGGTGTGTTAGCTGGAGCTCCGATTGCAGTAATATTATTATAGCAATAATGGAAGGATTAGTGAAAGAACTGATGAATCTAGTTGGAACTCTGAGAGCAGAGATGGATTCCCTACGGGAGGAGGTACGACAGCTGAAACATCGAGAAGAAACGAAGGAGGAGACCAATATTAAAAAGACCTCGTCGTGGAAAGTCGTAAAGGACAGGGGTCTTAAGAAGACCTTGACAAGGCCGCCTTCAAAATTCACGGCAAATTCATTCAAATTCTTCACGGCAAATTCATTTGCCGTGTTGGAAGACGAGTGCTGTGGTGAGCCTGCAGTTCACTCGAAAAGGAAATCAACGAAGAGCAACGAAGCGCAGGCCCCTCAAAGTGCTCAGAAAGGTAAGAAGGTACCTAAGCGAATTTTGGTTGTGGGAGATTCCCAGGTGAGGTATTTAGACAGGACGTTTTGTGCCAGAGATAGGGGGAACAGGTTAAGGGTTTGCTATCCGGGAGCTGGAATTGGAGATATTGTTGACAACATGAAAGATTGGTAGATTGGTGCAGTAATCACAATGAGAGACTGAGCCGCGCCAGGTGACGAGGTGGTCACCGCTGGGGGAGTGGCTTGACCCAACCACAGAGGGAGGGGAGCCAGGGGTAGTAGTCAGGAGGGTCAAAGGAGGAGCTTGGTCTGGGCCCAATGTAGCGGGGGCTACAGAGCCCGGTCGTCCAACACAGTCCGACTCGGGGGCTTGGTCGCCCACCCCACGAGCATGAGAACTCATAAGAGGAACAGTATTCAGCGACATGAAAACGAGGTAATACTTTCGCTCACGAATGTGCCCCCTCATCCACCACGGACCTACAATTAGAGGATAGGACATCCAACTATAGACATGTTGCCGGTCTTGCCGGGGCCCCCTAGGGGGTGCGTCGTGAGTATACGTCCCACAATCGCCACCTTAAGAACCGTCAGTCCGTCGAGATCGGGTTTAGCGACGAAAGGAGGAGTGACAATAAAAGCGTCCCCTCGTTCGAGACGCTGGGTACTACAGTTCTACGGGTGCAAGAGTATACCTCTTCAAACACCCGGGCGTCAAAACAAAAGAATGAACAAAACTGGCACAAGGTCAGCGGGGAAACGACAATCAGAAAGAAGAAGACGGGGGGAGAACAACGAAACAAAAGGAAAAGGTGTCCGGCATAATTTGTGAGGACAGCAGCAGAAGCATATAAAGGCCACAAAAGGACAGAGGACTGGCCCATGGAGCATCAGACTCCGGCAGCCACCCACCAAGCCTCCTCACGGCATCAACGAGCCAGACAGGGAGGGGAAAATCATCTCAAGATAACCAGTTTACTGAACATATTGTACCAATGGTCACTGTGAATATTATATTTTCTGTGACCATTTAAAATTAAAGCAACATCTTTAACTCATAACTTCTCTTTCCAGAGATACTATGCAAATTAAAACACCCGAGCCTCGTCTTAATCCTAATGTATATCCTAATTGTTCATGCAACAGTCTTCAGCTCCCTACATTGTTCTGTGCATGTAAAGCTTTAGAATAGCTGTCAAATCCCAAACAACATGATTCCCAGATGCTGGGACAAGTCCCCAAGACCTATACCAATACCATGATCGTTTCAAATTGTAGGCTAAATGTTACTCACCAAGCCAAAATGTAAAATCTTATTTAGACTGCTGTATACCTTTCAGTTCAGTCATTGTCATAACTATTTGTAAATGTTGTTACGTTAATAGTTTCCTATTCAGAATTTGACAACTGTGATGATTTTCAAAATCATTGATATTATAGCATCTAATTCTTCAGTAGATTATATTTGCCTGTGTGTAAATTTAACCAACTTTAAGTGTACAAAACATTAAGTAATTATCAATAGAAGGCACCAAACCTGGAAGGCTATTGTTATGATCTCAGCCTGCAGGAGAAACGAGTCTCCCTCCTTGAGAGTTATTCATCAAGCCTGACCTAACCAGGTCTAAAAAATATAGAGGTGATAACACATATGTAAAATAGCTGGTTGGATATGAAAAACAATTTGAGATTATGGGCAGTGAAGAAGAAAACAGATAAATGACTGACTAGGAGATGTGGACATTTTGCTGGAGGCGTGAGGCTCGCTTCTGGAGGGCTTTGACTCACTTGAGGTCAGACATCGCAGAGGGAAAGCCGCGCTCCGTTGAGCTCCCGCCAGAAGGGAACCCCTAGTGATATATCTCGAAGAGAAGAGAAGTATGCAGATGTGCCAGCTGTAGAATCGAGCTGGGAACGTTGTGGTCTCAAGTCCTGGTCGACGAGCAGATTATTAAACCGCCCAGAGGCATTATTGTGGGCCGTGGAAGCGCCCTGACCAAGTTTCGTCAGAGGGAGCAGCGCCCTCGACCAGACAATCTGTGGTAAGCACGATATACGCCAG